GCCTGTTTCTTAAAAAAACTTAAGTAGAAAATCTGACTTAAGTCAAACTTAAGTCCAAAAAAGTCTTTGTCTTTTTTGACTTAAGTAAGATTTTCTACTTAAGTTTTTTTAAGAAACAGGCCCCTGATCAATTACAAATTTAACAACAAACATCTTAGATGACTCATCTAAAACAAAATGTAACTAAACAGCGAACACCGACCGAAGGGAGATGTGAGCTTTCTTGGATTCAAAGTCATCAAAGGTCGTTCGCAGATATAAGCTGCTTAAGTCAAGGGACCGAGCGAATGCAAACGAGCGTTACCTTGTTATGTTATGTGTGTTGCTAACTAACATATAATAATGATAACATTAAAAGATGGTAAAAGGACGAGTCGGTCTTTACCGGTTTTTGAGCCAATCAAAAACTAGCCAATTATAAAAGATGTCACTGAAATTTCAAACAGAATAAAAGTTCTGGGGGCTTTATTTTATTTTACAAATTCGAAATTAAGAAAAAGAATACTGTGTGTAATTTTTCTACAAAAAATCTCATTTGTTTATAGTGCGGCTAATCAACATCAACAGCAGACCAGCTTTTGCCACTCTTAGAGTTGTATGCGATTCCTCCCCTGCTTCAGCTAAAATCCTGTTCATATCTATTTTATGAGAATCATCGCCTATTCGTTCAGCCAATCGAATCTTGTGGGAACTTAGGATATCTTATGCCATTAGTTTTGTTTTTTGATTTCTTCTTTCATCTTTAGATGAAATAATGAGTAAAAAAGAAGAACAATTACAAGAGCTAGAGGCTCTAACTTGTATTTATCCAGAAGAAATTGAAGGTGTAGTGAGAGCAAAAATTTTACTGGAACCTTTCCTCTAACATTTTTGGTTTTTGTCAGTTTAGTAATTTCTGAAGACCCATATCCAAAGTTCAAATTATATATCAAATCGACTCATGATACTAATGTTGATTCACAACACAAATGTAAATAATAAGAGAGATTATCCATTGTAATTACATTAAATTCTAAACGTTTTTAGCCGCGTTAACATTAGAAGTGAAATTTGATGAAACATATCCTGAACAACCACCTAAAATAACAATTATTGACTCAGAAAATGTTGACGATATAAATTTTATTGAGAATGAAATTAAAAAAATTGTATGTTCGTTTGTAACGTGCTAGTACTAGTATTTGTGATCATTCGTAGTTTCGTTTTTAGTGTGAAGAAAATTTATGCATGCCTATGATTTTTACATTGTCAAGTCACCTGTCAGAACAATTGAGTATTCAAGCTGAAAGTCATCATAAAAGATTTAAAGAACATGAAGAGCAAAAGCGTAAAGCTGAAGAAGAAGCAGAAAGAGTGAGTGTACTAGTTAGACACTTCCGTTTTTTTTTCATAATTTTTTCCCCTGTTAGTCACGGTTCGAAGGTACCTGCGTCAGTGTAGAATCGTTTATCAAATGGAAAGTTAAATTTGATGCTGAAATGGCTGAATTAAAAAATATCAAAATTGATGAAAGTGAACCAAAAAAGTTAACTGGTATGTGATTTTGTAAATTTCTCAATTTAATTGGTATGAACTCAAGTTTTATTTAAGGTCGTCAACTATTTGAAAAAGATCGTTCATTGTACGAGTCGGATATAAAATTTTTATCAGGAGATGGTAAGAATCTAAGTCTGAATGGTTTGATGGGTACTTTAAATTGTATGTTTTTTATTTTTAGGTGGCGAAGTGGTAGAAGTGGATGAATCATTATTTCAAGATATAATTGATCTGGATTTAGAAGATGACGCTTCCACAAATGCAAACGTTGGCGATTTATCCGACACTGAACAATAGTTTTATAGTTCAATTGATTCGTGAATTTGTTTTGTTTATTAAGCAACTTTTGCAATGTGATAAAGCCAGAGAAATTAAGTAAACCTTTTTCTTTAAAAAGTTTTCATCTAGACAAGTATGATAACACAACATACTGTCTTCACATTTTTAAAGTTGTGCGCTGTTTAAATATATTATAATGTTACATATTCAATGGTAAACTCATCTTATAGTTTTCACGTTGAATTGAAAAACACAAACATTTAATTTTACCGATAAATAGCCCCGATACAAAAGAATGCTGGCAAAAAATCGAAAGAAAAAATTGCGAGTAAAAAGGCGGGGGGGGGGGGAGGAATGAGGGCAGAACAAACATAGTGGTAGTTCAAGTTCGCTGCGTTTATGCCAAATGCAATTTCATTTTTTGTTTTGAGGCAAAAGTTCAAAATAAAAAGAAATTCCGAAGTCTTCTTGAATCTGTACTAATTACGGTTGAAATCGCTAGATGTACAATGTGAAATAAATTAACTTATATAAATTCATTAAAATCATGTCCTTAATTTTTACAACAAAATCAAGCACAGAACTAGAATACAAACTCAGGATCTTTTCTTGTATCAGTCCTTTCAGTATATTTAAGTATGAAAAGAGTTGCGATTATAATCCATATATTCTTCTAAACCGTCACGATTTAAACATTGATTCGAATTAATACGATATGTACCTTTAACTTTCGTTTCTTGTATAAAATAGTTTATAACAACTTTATGAACAACATCGGCTTCACATTTTTTCTCTTTAACACGTCCAATTTCTGCACAACATTTAATTGTTTTTCTAATGTTGGATGAACACTTTGACCCGTGACGTCAAAAATCACCAGGGCATAGCAAACACCTTGATACTCAGGACATATCTATTAAGAATAAATATGTTAAACATGTTTTCATTATTCATTGGTTTTTAGAACATTTTTCAATGAGTTAGTTAGTTTTTTATCAAACATAACCTCGTTGCGATATTTTAAAACACACGGTTAGTCAAAGTGTTTAGGATAAAAGATCATAGTAGCCCACGTACTATGAGAATGAAATGAATATTAACGTATTTGATGGTAAGTATCGGTTTTATTTTATAAAACAATCCTTGTCGGTTGTATCTATTTCAAAATGAGGTCGTCTAAGATTGAAAAGCTACGATTAAGGGAAATCCTTCTTCAGAAAATCGATTTACGGATCAAAAATCGATTTTGAATATTTGTTTACATGAGTGTCTGACATGTTTATTCCCAAAATCTATATCTCTTTTTACCTTCTATTCAGTTATTGTATGTTTTCAAAAGGATTTTCCCTATAAACTACGGCTGTTCAAATTCGACCAATTTGTTGTAATACTACGTAAATCCTTTTTTTTCAAATATTCATATTTGTAGAGGAAACGTCTCTTATTAAAATGAGACGTGGCACAGCTCTATTCAACACTGTGACAGAAAAGTTATAGGAACTTTTCTACGAGTTCTAAAAGGCATCAATAAATAGATATATTTAGTTAGCGATGTTGGCGCTACTATCATTCAGTGCGATGTGTTTTAGTCAGAAACGATTCGATATGGTCAAATTGACTTTTTCTATCCGAAAGATAAGACAAATATGAAAGAGTGAGGTGATCGATACTTTTTTTTGTTTCGCTTTCTGTATTGAAAAAAGTACATTTTGTTGACAAGTAAATAGACATTTTTTAAGACTTCAAACTTAAAGGCATGCTTGTAATATGATTCCTGGTATCAGTTATGAGAAAAACGTTCCGTACAAACAACCTTATTTTGACGATAACTCCTGAACAATTCGATTTATCGGGCTGACCTTTCTACCATAACTTATTGATTCAAGCTACAACTCTTGACAGTTTGGTACCAGTCGGTCGTTTATTGTAGAAATTTTTTCGCGTCTGAATTATCCCTTCAATTTGAGTTTGGATGCTTGTAGTGACTGTTATTCATTTACCAATTAATTTTTTGGTTGACTTTTGTTCCGCACTTATTATCGATCGATCCATTATTTTCTCTATCACCGAGTTCAAATACTTGTCTGAATTATTCAGTCTTTTTTTCGTCAAATTAGTTGAACAAAAGAAGAGTGCTTATTGTGTAGAGAGTAGAAATGAAAATAGTATTTTTGAAAGTAAAAGTGATCGGCGGATCTTCAACGATGTAATGAGATAAATTTCTCATTCCATAACATCAAAATCCCTCTAAGACATTACTAATGCGATTGTCTCTCCTGATAAAGTCTGTATTGATGAATCCTTTTTCTCACACATCGTTTGGTTTTTTCAAAAACAATAGACCATAACTGGTATACATAGATCATTAAACATATATGAGCAGGTAAATCAGATTTCTTAGCTGTTCCTCTCAAATAATTTCATCAAGTAAAGTGCATGTTTATAGACTCTTTCCTGTTTTTTTTACTCTATTGAGACGATACAAAGAATAGATTTCCTTTTGGGTTCTAATAGCTAAAAGCTTTTTTGAATGAATTAATAGAATCATGAATTGAAATAAATGCACGAATGATTATATACTCATGTATTTACTATTCTTTTTCTACTTTGAGTGAAAATTAGTTTTTCTATTCGAAGAACTATAACAATAAAACTCAAATTCTATACTTCTAATATTTTGTTCAAGTTTGCCAAGGCTAAGTCAGTTTGACTAGTAATTTCGTTTTATATCCAAATTTTTAGACGACTTATTAGATACCAGTACGAGTTAGTATAGTTTAGCAGAGTTAGATTTTGTTTTTTTTGTCTCAATAAACTATGTATAAATTTGGCCACAATATGATCCAAATATGATCACATACTCAAAGACATTTGTCTATTACTGTACTTTCTTTTTTGTTGTTCTATTCACAAGTAGAATCTATATATGTACTTGTCTTAGTTCTTCGTTAGACTGTTTAGTTGACTCTGCACCATAGACCTTGGTCTGCTCGCTTAGTCAAATTTATTGTAACTTTTCTTAATAATCAGGATTATGACTAAAAAAACAAAAAAAATATTTATTTATAAGTCCAAAAAATGCACTGACAGATGAATAATGCATTTTGTTGTTAACGAGTTTAATGGCATCGTCATCCAGCAAAGTACATTTTTCTTAAGAATAGGGCAGCATATTCTAGGAAACTTTTAAAATAGAATTTCATTTTTTCCATAATGGAAGTTGCGCTTTTTCTGAGTTTTTACTTACGACGGAACCGCACCAAGTGTTCCCGAGTTTTTTCGTTGAAACACACATAAGCATAGATTATCGCTGATGCTAATTTCGAATATCATAGTCAGAACGGCATATGGACCCTTGGAGACCCAGCTTTCTAGAAAACCAGTTTTTCAGAAATTCTAAAAAGTAACCAACCCTTTCTTAATGAAGCATAATTGTAGCCTGCAAATTTCTGATTAAAATGAGACATCTCTCAGCTCTGCACGACCTTTCGTTACAAAGTTATAGATCTTACAAGAAAAGTCCTAAATTAATTTCTTCTTATTTCTGTAGCTTGAAGTTGACAATGAACATTTACGGCTTTTCTTGTAAATTCTATAACTTTGCAAAGAAAGATCATGTACAGCTGGGAGATGCCTCATTTTAATCAGAAATTTGCGGGCTACAATTATACTTCATTAAGAAAGGTTTTGGTTACTTTTTAGAATTTCTGAAAAACTAGTTTTATAGAAATCCGGGTCTCCAAGGCACAGTTGGCATCCAGGTGGAAATTAGGTGAAAAATCGAAGTTGCTCCTAATTCAAATGCAAATAGTGGAAAATGTAGCCCTTTCAAAGGGCTACCGAATGGTATATAAATGTCTATTTTGAAAATGGTTCCTACGACGAGAAATCACGGTACACAAAACCGATTACGGATATCGTTGCTACATACGAAATAAACATTCTTTGCATCACATCAATTATGGTACGCGATTTCAAAGCAGATATTCAGAACCAGCACGTCTTCAGCTATCTATTGATAACAAAATATTTCTATTTTGGCACCGAATTCAATAAGCAAGGGCGACATGTTCTCCATCACGTCAGTCCATAGTAACAGTACTCCAGTATAGTCGGGTCGCCCTCGTTAGCCCCACGCGAAAATACCATTCAAACACATCAAAATGTTCCTCAAACGCTACTCTATGCATTCTAAAATCGCAAAATCTCGCATATTTTCCAAGGAGGTTTTATGGATTTTCCAAAATCCCAAGGGGTTTTCGCGTATTTCACATTTTTCTCTCTCACCAAAGCACTTTTTCGTACAAATAATACCATATTCGGAATCACCGTGAAAAACTACGTCGAATGATATATAGCTTTTTAATTTTTCTGCAAAAATATTTTCGGTCAAACTGAATTATACAGTTGAAAGCCTGTCCGCAGCAAATTTTGCTTAGGAAGTTGGATATTTATTTTAGCAATACTACGCAAGTGTATAAACACATTTTCTATAGGTTTTCGAATATGATCTCTCCAATAGTGAGGTTTTTGAAATGTAAAAATATTTTTTATGGGTTTTTCGGAGATCCGGTCTCTAGAAAACCCACAAGGAATTACTTCTAAGTTCTGAAAATCTCATCATTAGAAAGAGCATATTCGAAAACCAATAGAAAAACATGTTTATAGGCTTTCATACCAGTTCTACAGCGTATGTCCGCCTGCTCCATAGAAAAATGCCCACTGTGCAAGGGTTCGTATGCCGCTCTAACTATGATATTCAAAATCAGCATCAGTGGTAATATATGGTTATGTGTATTTCGACGAAAAAGCCCGGGAACTCTTGGGGTAGTTCCCTCGTTAGCTTTTTACTAGAATTATTTCCAAAACAGCTGTTTTTGTGTTATCGTTTATAACACAATTAAAGTCAGGTGTATTTAATAAATTTTTAAATAGCTGAACTACGCAAAGGTGTGTCGGTATCAAGTTCGTCTGCGTGTTTCTAGATATCCCTTTACTTTTGGGAGATAATTTATTCTCCTTTTGTTAAGAATGAAAAGATCTACTATATTTTCGTAATATCTTACTAGCGCTTACCTACCGCTACTGTTCCATCTATCTTTCTGCTAAGTTTAGTTTTATTTTCAAAATAAAAAAAAAGAAAGAAATTACATCAGTAGGTAACAAATATCCTAAACACTAAAAAAAAATGAAAGAGACGAGGAAAAGAGCAAACATTCATATAAATTTCTGAGAGAAAATAAGGAGTAATAACAGGAGATCATATATGTCTTTCGAAGGATAAGAGCGAAAAGGATGCAAAAAAAAATTGAAACGAGTCTTTTTTTCTCGAAATAAACTTGGATAAACATTAATTTTTTTCGGTTTTTTTCGACTGTGTGGATTTATCATTATTTTGACTTCTAAAACAAGAATTGTGATATGCATCTAGTTGAATAATGTAAATAGAACTTACTACTCTGGCTGTTTCAATGCCTCAATTGCTTTATCAATTTCGCTTTCATATTCGGTCAACCATTCCGGCCGTTCTTTTTGTCCTGAAAGTATAACAAACAATATGTATGAACAAGTCGAAATTATAAAATATTTATTTTCATTTATACCTATAGTTTTGAATACACCAGATGCTTTCATTCTTGCATAATCACGTTCTGGATCAAAATTTCTAGTTTATTAGAAAGAGAAAAGAGAAATACAATAATATAATTAATAAAAACTGAGAACATACTTGTAAAAGTCGGATATTGCTCTTTTATGTCTATCAGTTACAAGCAGTTTCCATCCAAAGCCCGAAGCTGCACATAGAAGTACACCAACAGCAGCAACTCTTGGGATTCTTGTACGTGTTAAATTTTTTAATTGTGGTCTTGGAACTGAACCACTACTACCACTCCCGGTAGTACTTGATGACACTTTATCTTTGACTGCTGCAGCAACATCTTTGACTCCCGAAGCAACAGCAGAAGCCATTTCGACCAAATTTCAATGATAAATTTATATATTCTAAAACAAAGAGAATGTACAAACTTTTTATAATCTGTTTTATCGAATCACAATTTCTTTAAATTTAACATTCGCCTTTTTAAACTACCGTATAGCAACTTTAACCACCAATGCGTTATTACTTTGATTATTCATTCGTCTATTATGCTCTTTTCAAATTGATTACGGACAATAAACAGCAAATAAACAAATGCATTACACACGCTGAATTAGCACCAATACAAAAAAATACAACGTACTTAAAGCATCAATTAATGATTATGAATTGACGAAAAAACACCGCCGACTAACCAAAAATTTTGTACAAATAGCCCAGAATTTTTCTTACATAAAAGAATATAGATGGAAAAGATTATGAAGTACATGATTGGAAAATATCGAACAATCTGACTGATTGAGAGAAAATGATGCCATAAAACGTTTCTACACCTTCACACAAAACAAAACAAAAATATAGGGAAAAAAATCACTCGGATAAAATGGTCAGATGCAACAACGATACGTAACTTTTATTAAAATATGGCTGAAATATTTCTGATCAATAAATTGTTTCTTCGCTTAGTAACATTGGTGAATATTTGAATAAATTTAGTTTCTTAGATACTTTAAAAATGAACATCAGTTGTCGATTAAAATGATGAAGGAAAATTAGTATCGATTTATGAGGTAAAAGACAGACTGATATAACTCTTAAATATCAATGGTGTCCAGTCTATAGAGATATAGTCTAAAATTCAGTCTATATCTATTCTTAGTAGATTACACATCGTCTCTTAACGCTTCTACCATTTCGGATTTATGGTAATAAATGATATTTGAATGTTTGAGCAGACAACATCGCTAAGAAAAAAAAAATGCAGACAACTAACTTTAGATCGGCTATAATCTAGCACGACTAACTTAATCGATTGTTCTTATAACAACAAAATACAAAAAAAGAGAAAAATATAAACAACGGAAAGTTCAGATGGCTGTAGTCTTCGAAGAACTGTAACCATTAGAAATTCAAAATAGATAATAATTCGTGCGATGAGTGTGCCTTACTCACTGTTGCAGACAAAAAACAAAAAAAAAATTGCAGTTCATTAATAAAAAAAATTTTATTTTCAAGAAGATGACTACATTCCTTCTTAACAGTCTTCATCTAGATAACGTCTGGCTGGAGAGACAGTATGACTTAGTTATTCAGTTAATCTTTAAACGTTTAGTTAATTTTTGATCGTATGTCCATTTTTGTTCCCCACACTCCACAAAATGCTATAAAAAATAACAATAGACGAATACAGTGCATTCATCTCAGCAATTAATGTCGTCTATTCTAGAACTTACTTTTGTTTGCCATTTTAATGATTTTTCTGCTCGTTCTTTCGTTTCTTCTCGTTGGCGTTGTTCTAAGGCCAATTTGGCCTCTGTGGCTTTCTCTAATTGTTTCGATTTCAAACAATAAGTAACATCTTTCCATAAACTGAAACACAAACATTCATTAAGTAAAAAATATTTTCCAAACTGCTAGATCAGATCTATCCAGTTATGTTTTCAATAATAAAAACAAAAATATAGTACATTGGACTGTTTTACAGAATTTTATTTTGTACTATTGTGAATGCTGCATTTCAATACTTACCGTCTACTTTCAAATTCGCCTTGTTCTTTAATTGGACGAACAATCTTTTTCATAATTGGAGTGGTTTTTGTATCAAAGAAAATGTCTGATATCTATAAAAATAGGATAACATAGCTTATTAGTTTTTCTTCTAATAGACTAGAGAAAAAAATCTACTTTTGTATCGGAGTATTTGGCATACATAACGCCATTCCATTCACCATCAATTTTACAAAATTCTTTCTTATCAGGTCCATACATGATTCCACTTATTTGATGTTTCTTACCATTGTAGAACGGCTGTGAAAATCGAAAATATAAATAAACTTTTTATGAATATACCGATAAAAACTAATACTACCTTAGTCAAAAAATCAATAGTAGCACTGTATCCAGTCGTTTCACAATCGATTTGAACTTTTCCACCCATTTCAAACCAAGGCACACCTAGAATTGATCTAAATAAAAAAGCAAAAGTTAATAGGCTTAAATATTAGTAGAATAGCTGATGTTTTACCTTCCATAAGCACTTGGAAAAGTTATCACATATTTTTCATCGAAATCCAATAGCGTTATAGTTGCATCTCCTATCATATGTACAGCAACCGATAATCCAAGGAATTTTGATTTCGTCCATAAACATCCATCAAGCTGAATTCGTTTTGCAACACATTCAGCATAAAAAGCAGCCACTAAAATGTAACATAAAAAAATAAAATTAAACGTTTTTTACCTGATTGAGACGGAAAACTATAAAAGCATTCATTATGACTTTGTACGAGTGTAAAGCAATAATTTGAAAAATGAATCACTATTTTTTCACTTCAATGTTTTACCTGGTGGATGATGTGAAACTTGCTCAGCAATAAATGTAACATTATCTTTATTTGCCCATGGAACTGGTCCATCGTTAACATTGTTCATCTGAATAAATAGACAATATATTTATCTTTTATGAAAGAATAAATGAATATAAACAAACATTTGTAGTAGATGTTGGAGAGCCAACGTCATAATAACATTCAAATGTTTCGCCTAATATTGGATTATAAGGTTTTTTTGGCACCGCACTCTTTCTTCCAGCATGAAAGGCGGATAAATACCATTTGACAACGTGAATAAATCGATCACGAGGACTAGTACAATCAGCAACACTAAAAATAAACAAAAAAATATCAAATAAAATTAACATACGACTTTTTTTAACAAACCTCACAAATTGATCTGGATGAGCTAGAAAATCAGCTAACATTTCTAGGAATGATCGTCGTTCAAGTATAAAGGTTGGTAATGTGACTTTTGTTAAATCCATTCCTAATCGTACTTGTGATATTAAGTGAGATATAACACTTCCATCCATTGGTGCCACTAAAAAATAAAAGATATTACTTCATTCCTTTTTGTATTAACACATTACTAATACTAACCGTCTACATCTCCATCATCGTCATAAGCCGCTAGAAAAAACAAACAAACAATAACATAATAAACAAAACAACTATTTTGTGGATTATTAATATAAGTGACTAAATACCTTCGAAAATGTCATATGATATTTGACTTGTTGTTTGCAAGGGTAACGAAGAACGAGATTGTTGGGACGCAGATGATAGACTAAAACGACTAGATTTTGAAAAAGAGAACAAATAAACAGACAATATTCGTTTTACCTATCAGTCGTATCATTGTACTTATTTTTCATGTTAGTATTAGTTTTACTTTCATTACTAATATTTGTATTCTCATTTGTTGTTGGCATAAGTGACTTAGTTAGTGATGGTATGTCACTGACATTGATTATTGGTGAGGGTGGTGGAGCACGAGAGTGCAGTATTGTCAAATTTGAAGGATTAGATGAAGAAGACCTAAAATAAGAAATAAAATAATCGATGGATAATGTGTCTCTTGGACATGTGTTCCTCCTATACATCTAACATGAGTAAAGAAATAAACTTATTTCATAAAAGAAAGATCATAGAAAAATCCTGTCCTGAATAGTAGTAGTTTTTGTTATTATGCAGTTGCATCAAGAATTGAGAATATTGTGTTCCATGTCAAAATGAATACAAGTGACTAACAAAAGAACTTTTTACACGTAAACTGGTTTTCTTTATTTCCAGTAACTGGATAGTCACAATAGGATTGACATAGGATTTCTACTACCGGCTATTGTTTAATTAGCACAAATGTTAGATCATTTCCTCATACAGTTGTCATTTGAATGAAATAGATATTCTTAATTAGCCCTTCTAATTTTAATTTTCTATTTGTTAATCTTCATTTTACATTACACGATTGAACAACCTTGAAAAAAAGTCAACTACTGCAGTTCCTTTACAAAAAAAACAAACTACACCGTATATAAAAAGAATGATTTTTTATGATTAAAAGAAATTTTATACTTAGGGCAGTCAAAAAGTTCTGTCACTTCTAAAAATGATCCGGTCGGTTAAGATCGAGAATCTCTTACACATTCTCATATCATCGTTTAAAACTACAAACTCTGGCCGACAAGAATCTGTCATCAGATTATCTCCAAGTCTTTTCCTTTCAGAAAATATTGAGCTTTTTCTCATCAAGATGTCTATACAGGCAAAGGCTCAGTAAAACAGTTATAATTCGAAAAGTAAAAGGTATTTGCATAAGTGGATTTAACCACTGGATTCAACACACTTTCGTTATGAAATATCAGTAATTAGTGATTTTTATTCGAATGTGTTGCATTAAAAACATTTCATTAAAGGATTTCTTGTTTTTTTGGCGAACCTTTGCCTGTATGAACATCTTGATGAGAAAAAGCTTATATTTTCTGAAAGGAAAAGACTTGGAGATAATCTGATGACAGATTCTTGTCAGCCAGAGTCTGGAGTTTCAAACGATGATATGCGAATGTATAGGAGATTCTCGATCTTAATCCACCGGGGCCTTTTTAGAAGTGATAGAATTTTTTGACTGCCCTAAATAATTTAATATTTATTATCATAAGGATAAAAGCAAAAACGTTTTTTATTTTTTCTGATCATTTCAACTTATGTTGTTTTATTTTTTGATCATTTCAACTTATCTTTTTTTCTTTATACTCAAGAAATATGTGACAAGAGACGACAAGAAAGAAGAACAAAAAAGAATAAACATGAGACGTCATTTCTATATAGACATTATATATCTATAACATAAGATAGAATTTCCATCGTCTGTATCATGAACTCAACCAAGTGATGCCATCTTTTTTTTTTCTCTTAAACCTGTTCAATATATATACTGTTAAAATTTAAATAGCTATAAGTAGACTATATTTATAATATCTTACTAAATGAAATAAAGAAATTATCCTAGATCAATTATAAATCAATCAATGGAAAAAAAAATTTTTTTTCATACTACTGTTATTATTATACTGCCATTTTATCGTTATCTTTTATGTCATGTCGTGTATTTTCGTATTCTTTTCTTTTATTCTTGATCTAGTTTCATCAAATTACCACATTTACGATCAGAGAGTGTACTGCACCAATTAAAACATTTTTTTCTTTTCTTCTTATGATTACCGTTTATTTTTATTGTTAGTTTTTTTCTTTCAACAACATGTGACATAAACACAACTGATAAATAATAATCGTAAAAAAATATCAGAAGCTATAAAACACAAATTAAATATTGAGGAGTAAGTTTTTAAGGCGATAATGTATTCGACGAAAAACAGATTGATTCCGTATTATTTCATTTTTTCTATCTCTTTTCTACTCAAGTCAAACGGATTTTGGTAAGTATAAAGATCGTTTTGTAAAAATATATAACATATTTTATTAAAAAACTTGTGAAAGATTTCAAAGAGGTCTGAAATTTTTCCAGTTAACTGTATAGTATCTGAAGCAAGATTTAGAATATCACAGTTACTATTATTTTAGTGACAAAATAACTGGCAACTGTGACGGTAACGTGAAAGAAACTGAACGTAACGTTTACTTCATAGTTATAAACTTACTTTTGAGATAGATAAACTAACGGTAACTGTGACATTCCTAGACCAAGATTGCTAGTTCTTACAATGAAATAAATTACTATTTAGCATTCCAAATGCAGAAGTAATTTGTTGAGGAGGATGTCCGCAAATTTTTCTGTTATAAATTTTATCAAACCAATGAATATAGAACAACTGGTTGAAAAATTGCGATGAATTCATTGATCATTCTTTTTTCTCAAATATAAGCAAATATGGCGAAATCTAAAATTTTAATTCTGAATGCTGTTAGTGTGACCTTTATGTAGAACACAAGTTATTGTCACGAAAGCCTAAAACATATTTCTTTTCAACAATAAAAACTCAGTTGTTATACTGTTATGGTTACAAATAAGAGAAAAAAAGATATGAAAGATAAAAACGAACAGATAAATCCTATCTTGTGACCATAACCGTTATATCTCTTTTAAGAATAAAAAACTAACTATATATTTATGTTTGGCACAATATGAAGTATGAGACGTTTGTTTTAATGTTTTTAAAATCTACTGCACGCTATTTAAATTAATTTATATCCCCGTATCATTTAGCATGATGTTCGAAAGATGAGAGTTTGTTTCTGTTCAAATGTTGTAACTGTAGCGAGAGAATCTTTCTTTTTTGTAGCGAAAGAAAGTTTTCATCTATAGCAGTGTTTTCGTGTCATAACCTGTTCTTTTCTCCTTTACAGAGAAACGTTATCATCACACCTATTTTAAGGGAGAATATTGTGTTGTTTGCACACGTCTGTTTTTACTTCATTGAAAATACATTCATATAAAACGAAACACATGACTTACTCATTTGATTCGGTGGCATCATAAAAATCATCGTCATCACTACTTGAATAAGAAACAGCTGGAAAACTTTTTCTAAAATTATCAACAACGGTACGGTAATCTAATGCTAAAAATAAATTAATAAACAGATAAAGACACATGTGCTTGTGTATATCTCTTCTCACATTCCAATGTTTTATCTGCTCCTTTATCTTTCATGTATGAATCACCTCCAGCCGTAGCATTAATCAAATGACTTCGATTATGTAAAATTTCATCTAAAGAAAAATGAAACTAGTTATGAAATAATCTATGTCGAAAACAATGTTTATTTTACCTTTATGAACATTCATATGAGACAGTACAGCTTGATAATCAACTTCAGCATTTACATCGTTATTAGGATCCATGTGAACCTAGAATAATCAAAAACAAAAAAAAGGTATTGTTTAAAAAAGAATGTCCAAAAGTGTGATCTACTTTGGCTAGTTGCAATGAAACAATTGAATATTTAACAGCTTCGATTAATCTCTAAAAACAAATAAACAAATAGACTCCAAACAAAACAAAAAAAAATGATATGATACATGCATTAGCAGAAACAGCAACACGCTTATAACATTCTCGTTCTTTCTCATCTTGTGCTTGATTCATTGACTGTTCGAGATCCTATGATACAAAGAAAAAAATTCTTCTTAAATAAATATAAATATGGAAGATTTATGACTTTTAATAAAATTACGTATACTCACTTTAACTTGATCAATCAATAATTGTAAATATGCATCTGCTTCAGATATTTTACGGTCAAAAACAGATGTACTTGATACTGATAATTTATCCTAAACGAAAAAACAAAATCATATTATTCTTTCATCAAAGATAATATGGTTATCATACCGTATAAACAGTGTTAAGACTAATACCCTCTTCCAAGCTTGTTATCCATTTTTGACGTTCTTCTGCATCGCGAGCTATACGAAACAAAAACAATTGACGTACAAACATAAAGAAACAAAGATATATCGAAATAACTTAGTAAAACAAATATGACAAGCGAAACGCTTTCCTCTTTCATATTACAGCATAAATAATCACTCATAGAACAGTTTTAATTTTACCTTGAAAATGAAAGGTTTTTCCATGAGATCGAATTGTGAACTAAACAAAGATAAAAGAATACCCAATAAGGTTAATATTTAAAAAAAGAAGTTTCTTTTTAAATTACCGTACTATCATCTTCAGAATCAATTCCTAAGTTAGCTCCCTATAGACGATACAAACAATAGTAAAGTAATATGTGAATAGGGAAATAAACAACAATTACTTTTAATAAAACGACACCACGCCTTTCACCCTTAACCATATTCTCTTTTGACTAAATAGATTAAAATGAGATTTTTCTTTTAAAACGGGTCAACATGACACAAGTTAACTTACTGTGTAGTATGCTAGCATCCCCGTGGATGCATTTAATACAAACCATCGATATTGCCAACCCTGAATAACATTCGTCCATTTTGATAGTGGACCTTCCATTGAGAAAAAAACACTTAAAAATAAATGTCAATAGTATACTCCAAACTTATAGGAGACAATCGTAAAATATTTTGACGATAAAGTCCACTTGAAACACGGCTTTAGAAGCACTATTCTAGTAGTTGTGCATATCAGGGAGAAAAATGAAATTTGGGAAAAGTAAATGGCTTTGAATGTGATTGATTGATTTTTCTTTTTAAACACTCATGCTACAAACCTAAAATATCCGCTATGAGTCATATATCTTCATGCAATCGAAAAACACATTAAAGTTAAATATTAATTTTTAACTAAATAATAATTCTAGGATAAAAAATAGAAAATAATAGTTCTTAAATTTCTCAAAATAGAGAGCACTTTGATTTTTCCTAGAGATCAACAGTTATGCACTACACAAGAATAATGAAGTAATATGTGACGTCTGTTGCCATAGAAATGAAGAATGTCATGGTGATTTTTTGTTCTGTAAGAAACAGAAAAAAAGATTTTATACTGTGAGATACGCTTTCGCGACTAACGGTTACTGCCTGTGCTCGTTGTGGCTTATGATGACCAGTGGCGACGGGACAGGAGGGAGGAATGGGGTATAACATATGATTAATTATATTATAATTGTAAATAATATTAGTTTTGAATTTTTCTTAAACTTTTCGCCGTACCTCGTGTTAAAAATAGAAAACCTTCTGGGTTATATTGAGTGTGCTGAATATGAAAAAGCACTTTTCCGCGACCCCAAATGAACTTTATTTTTCTGATGGTGCTTTGGTTTTTTAACAATTTTAAAAATTAATGCTTTCTCACTTATTTCATGGCATGTAGTTCCAGTTAAAAACTTTCCTGTTTTCAAACCACACCTTAGCGATATGCACATTACATACTTATCGTTCAATCTTTGTGCACTTGATCGCAATTTTGTTCAGATTTGCTATTAATTATTGTTTGCGACATCTTATGTTTTTAAGGCTTCGTTTCTGTCAAAAAGTTATTGATTTGAATCAAAAGTGAACAAAAACATTAAATTTTTGTTTCTTCTATAATTATAACTTATTTTCATGGAAGAAGATACATTAGCACCCGTGCGCTTTATAAACTCGGCAAAACCATTTTTATTTTTGCAGAAAAAACGAGATTAAGTTTCATTTTATTTTAAAAAGAACACATGCAGTGCGAAAAGTGACTGAAAACAATTATCCCAATGACTAATACACCGTTGATTAGTGTATGAAGCCAAACATAGTATTATAGATTTCAAAAGCGTCTAGCTTTCGCTCTTTTAAATGTTTGTTACGATTTACATTATATATATTTTACGTTCAGTTCAGAAAAATAACATTAACTAAGAATCATCATCCATATTTTATGTGTGCAATATGTACTCGAAAAAATGGAATGGATTTTTTATAGTTCAGAAATACCGTCTTTTTATGTCTTCAAATAGTAGATAGATGTGCTTTTCAAGTACATGGATTTTAACATGCAACAAGATTAACATGGAAAAATAATGTTAAATAACAATAAATAGCCCATTTAAACTATTTAATAAGCTTCGATTGTCTGGAGTACAGTACTCTGAATTCGCCTTTTTTGGATCCACCTCATTCAATTGCAAATTACTCTCGTACAAATCTCTAATTGACCAAGCTGCTACATGCCGACTTTTTCCATGATGTACAAGAACTAAATCGGAATGGTTCTCTTCTCGAACGGGAAAAAGTTTTACATATCCATGAATAAGTGCCCAATGTGCACGATGGCCAAGTCGTTTGCAGGGCTCATGATTTGCGTCAGCATCATATCTATAAGAAGAGAAAATATAAAATACAAAATTTTTAAACACATCAAAAATCTTACGGCATCAGACAGACATGATTTGATTGTAAATAATCAGTTAAATCTTCCAGTTTAGTCCAACGATGTACTTTAGCCTCAATATTAAATTTTTTGCATAGGACAGGTATCATATGAGCTAAGCACGAGCAGACACAGTTTTTAATAGTCTATAGAGAACATCCACACATACCATCAAATAATTCTCCCTGTATCGTGCATTTTAGTTCTTTAGCTTTTTCAAAAATATTTTGTACTGTATAACTGAATCCACCTAATTCCGACGCCATAGCTAAGGCCACAATCCCACATCTAACAGCAAAAACGAAAGAACAAATCAGTAAAACAAGAAACACACCAATTTCAGTAAACTGGACGAATTAAAGTGTATGATTCAAAGACTATTCAGCGACATTTATTTTCTATATTCTTCTCTCGCTTACTGTGGTCCGACTTGTAAAAGTGGTTCAACAGGTCGATAAATCACCAATTTGTATGTGTTGGTTTCATCTTTTGATAATTTTGATCTAAACGAATAATACATAGAATTATACAATGGGGCAGATTGGCTAGAAAATAACACTCGGTATAAAAGAAAGAATGCTTATAAAAAATTTCTCAATTGTTACTGTCAAAGGATGTAAGCTCTATTATTATCTCTTTCTGTTTTTATATTGAACAAAACAACATTAGAAACTATTCATTTGTAGCCAGTGTGTTTGAATGTACGAGAAAGGCACCCTGTCTAAGGAAGATAACCGATTTTGAAGCCTCTTATGATACATTCTAAAGATGCCACATGACTACATGCATTGTCTGAGACAACTTTGAAATTGTTAGTGAACAAAAGAAGGTCCTGTAAATCAATCAGGAATAGTATTTCAATTTTTGCACGTGTTGATAACGTGACATGCCACAATGTCACATGCTGGGTTCAATGGGTCTTCGTTCATGTAATTCGTAATTCTCAATTTTCTCCACCAGAATTCAACTTTTATGCAATAAAAATATCATATTCGGAATCAGGATGAAAAAATGAATCGACTGATGTGTATCCCTATCCTATTCGAGTACTTTAGTTTTTTTCGAATTTTCACGTTGAAAAATCATCAAGATTTTCACCCAAAACTGAAATCAGCTAAAAATTTCGAAATACAGATCAGTCGACTGAGTTTTTGATCCTGATTCTAAGGATGATATTTTTATTACATAAAAGTTGAGTTCTGATCGAGAAAATTGAAAACTACGGACAGAATTCCGACTTTTCCGCTATGATTTAGAAAAAACGAATTTTCTCAGCAACGAAACAAAATTTGAAAAAAAGCGACTTATACTTTTGAAGCCGACACTTCAGCAAATAGAATGGAATGTAAATGATAGTTCGAACCTTTAAGAAAAGAATGGAAATGAAGTCATATGATTCTTAGATAAATTAAATATATTTGATTTAATAAAATCGTTTTCTCCTAGTTTATTTTACAGACAGTGCCACATAAGTGCATTTGCTATTTATTAGCTAATGCTCCATTGCTTCATTCCAAGAGATTACGTACTAATTTTTATAAATTAAGTTGTGAAAAATAATTGTAAAACAAGTGTAGCTTTTTTTATACTATGGGACTCAGAGGGTTAAGCCATTAGCAGCAGTTACTCAAGATTATTCGACTGTAAGGTGATCTTTAATCTCGACTAGAAACATTCATGACAACAGAACAAAATCCTTAATCGTAATTAAGACTGTGATGTGAGCATGATATGGTACATACCTACTTAGTGCTAATGCCACATCTACAGGAAGTGAGGGATCGTCCATAACCATTCTGCTAGCGTCCAATGCACGGAGACAATCGTATTGTTTTCATAATAATCGTCGATTTACAGCAACAGAATATTTTCTGGATTAATTCGATATAATCTGAAATGACACGGATTAAGCATAGGTTAGTTGACCTATTTATGATGATTTACTCTTCATTTTTAAATTTATTGACAAAAGTATGAACAATGAACAATTATCAGACGAAGAGTGTGGATTTTCAGTCTGGAAAAAATGAAAAGTTATTTATAATAATTTGGAAAACTTCTAAGTTCGACAGGAACAAAAATACAAATCATAAGACATTATTATAGCTAGCGGCTTAACATGAAGTGGCTCTGTTCTAGTGTGCAATGGTTCTGTTTCAAAAAGAGCACGTTCATCCATTATCGTCATTTCTATTTTATTTCCGTTATTTAATAATGGTTTCCATATTTTTACGATCGCTTCCACTGTGGACATTACATATCACTCAGTTCTAATATAATTTAGCAATTAAAAACACAAATGACCTCATAGAAATAAATATCATATTTCGTACTAATTCGGACAAATAATAAAACACTTTTTCAACAAATTATTTTTCAAAAATAAGAAGGTACTTAAATCAGGTTTAACGACGAACGTTTCTGGAAAGAGATAAAATTGAAAATAACAATTTTCACTTCATTGAACGACTTGAAGATTTTCGTGACATTCTGAGTGGTTCGAAGACTGTTTCTCGTTCTATTTCATATTGATAAACTACGGCGTTTAATTGACGGATAGTACTTACAGCCTTAATCAGCATGGACTATAACAATAATACAACTTCTATCTGAGATCAATAATTGATTATAAAAAATGAGCATTGTACGTCATCGAAGCTGAGCTATTTTTTCTATAAGCCATCTACCTTTTGGTTTTTTATGACTATCAGCATACATATAACACTGGTATTCTTCGAAAAACTGAGAAAATATTTTCTTCCCCAACTATACAAATCGTAGAAGTTTGCCTTCTGGAAGTAGTTCTAGTCTAAAGACTGCTAGTACAAGTAGCGCTCTGGAAGCCAAGTAATCAACAAAATTAACATATTTGAAAAATATTATATTGAGAAACGTACACTGACTTGTGCAACGATACTGTTGTCACAGAATCATTCTATGGGATCAATTTATCAATATTCTTAAGTTAATGAACTTAAGCATTATCGTTTAATTTGTTTTAGCGTGTCATTTTTTACGGCATTGATCATGCTTCATGAAGTTAAAACAAATTCAAGTTGACATTCACAATTTTTGATGAAATATTAAGAATTAAATCATGACTCCAGTTCTCAGTTCTTGAGAAGAAGTATTACGATTCACGTATTTCAAATTTATTATCCTCAATATTTTTATCAATATGTGGACTTTGATTCAAATAATTAAAAGAATAACTATCGATCATGAATCGTGAGTCTTTTTAATGAAATACAAAAACTGAATTTATGAAGAAAAATAAAATCTTGTTTGAAAGAGAAAATAGTTTGAGGTGAATGACATCCACCACAATAGAAATCAAGATCTTTTCTTTGTATTATTCATTCGAATAGATCTTCATTATTCACTCTTAGATTAAAATCATCAAAAATAAAGTGGATAGAGTTACAAAAGATATAGAACAAAATGAAACATCTTGTTATGTGTATGTCAAGATAAAAATATCTTTTGACGTAATGTCTATCAACACATTTTTATTTCACTCAAGAAATTTATTTACCTGTAACGTTAATGTAGCAAACTATTTTTAAACGCCATCGATAGATAAATTTTTTTATTGTATCTAAAAAAATGGCTATAATGATGTTTGTTTTAGAAAGTTTATTAAGAAATTAAATTAATAGCAAGCGGTAAGTCAAAATCTAGTCATAACCTTCTAAAAATGTACCACCTTCGGTTTGTAGTCAATTGGTAATAAGTGTCTCTGGTTTATAGTAAATATGATATCTAGAGACACGTAGGGGAAAAAATCACATGCCGTTCGGTTTGCTTACAAAATCTCTGAATCTCCCTATACTATTCTATGTTATAATTCGTAATTCTAATATATTTTATTTATAATATTTGAATAGATACAGTTTTTATACGAATCTGTCTGTTTTCTATTAACATACAAACACACACATCCACAATTTCATTTACACCACACAAAGAGATTTTAAAAAATAAAACAAATCCCCAAATAACATTTTCTTATCTTTATGTTCATAAAAACACAAGATTTAACAGCAAAGAAAAAGATAAAAAGCAAACAAATAAACAATCGAAATAGAGTCTCTCTCATTTTCGTTAGTGTTTGGTTTTTTGCACGAACAATATGGGTAAAGAGAAAAAAATAAATAGCGAAGGGATAATGCAAATGTCTTATTTTAGACGGATAACGATATGCTATTTAATCATCCGATTTTCGATTAAATAACACTTTATTGACTGTTGATCAATTTATTTTTAAAATATGCGATAAAAAAAGAAAAAATTGGAATATTTATAACGAAAAACGAATGAGAGAGTGAGAGAGAAAAAGAGAAAACTAGCTGTTGAAAAAAATAAGAGCAATTTTGTTTTGTTTTTTAAATAACATTCTGTTGTTTGCCATTGTATATATTATGATTTAATCCATTGATTCATTTATTTGGCATTTTTCAATTGATTTGAGAGCCAATCTAAACCTTCATAAAGTCCATCACCACTTGTTGCACAAGTTGCTTGTATATACCAGTTACGATTACGTAAGGAATGTAAACCAAGTTTATCAGTTATTTCAGCTGCATTCATCGCATTTGGTAAATCCTAAATAAAAAAAACATCATTCAATCTTAATAAAAGAGAATGTTGGTACAAAATTACTGCAAGTATTTGTACTGTTGCAAGTTATTTTAATTAGTACGTACTTGTTTGTTTGCAAATATTAATAAGACAGCCTCTCTTAATTCATCTTCAGCTATCATACGCTGAAGTTCTTCACGTGCTTCACCAACTCGTTCACGATCGTTACTATCAACAACAAATATGAGACCTAAATAAAACAGGAAAAGAAATAAAATATCAATAATGAATATGATTAAATGTTTCAGTGAGACAATGATGGTTAAATAAAATTGTTTAATCAACAGAAAAGTTTTACTAAAAAGAAATTATTTTGCTTGGTTCATAAACTCGACGCTAAAACCCGCTTAACTCAATCATCATTTCATTTCTTACCTTGTGTATTTTGAAAATAATGTCTCCATAGTGGTCGAATTTTGTCCTAAAAAAGGGAAAGGTTACAAATAGTATTTTAATATTTTAAAGTTTTTGGTACATATGACGCAAGATCTATAGATATTTATATGGAAGGATAGACATTTCCAGCTAACAGTACACGTTTAAGGGTAATATAATCGAGCAACTTAAAAATTGCTCTAACATACACCATACTCTTTTAAACATGTCAACATTTTTTTCCATTTTCAAACATTAAACCCTTCTATTAGCATCTAATGCCTTTTACTACTGACTTGGACCGAAAATGGATGAAAAATATTCGGATTGAAAAGATGACCCGATTTCAGATCTTGCAAAGTGTCAAATGTTTTCTAATGACAGATAAAGAATGTGTGTTCCAAACTGTCTTTTGGCAGTGAATTTGAGCTCTACTCAGGGATGAACTATGACTGTTAAATATTCATCCAGTTGATTTAAAAACCTATTTTTGGAGATAAAAAAGTTTTTCGACATACAAGATCCGCCAAGAAACGTCAAGAGTCAGAGTTCCTCCTCAAGTTCGATACTTGATGTGAATATGTTTTCTTTTTAGTGCTCGTAAGAATTGGATTTAATGAATGCTAGTTGACAATGCTTTGACCTTTTTTCGAAAGCATTACTATCGAGCCTCGCTACAGCAACAAGATTAGGTTTACCAAAAGGATTCACGTAGCATTGAATTCTAAAGCACATGTCAGTTAAGATAGAGGTCAAAAAAACCTAACGTCATTTTTGTAGTTTAATGCAATATAGAAATAACGGATGCGGCATAAATAATGATACCGCCAGTATTTCGTCAATATCTTGGTGAGTCTTCATTACAGAGACTCGAGCTTCATCTCAAAAGATTCTCCATTCAATTCTCTTCAAAACCCTAAGAAAAGAGCACGCACAATACGTAAATTCATAGGTTGTCAACACTGCAATGTCCTAAATGGGAGCACTTTCCAGCGCGTATTTTCAGAAGATTAATTATGTCTCTGATTCTGTCTAATCAGACGCGAACGCACTTTAATGTGGATTTTTTTCATGTTTTGCGGACGTGCTCTCTTTCACAGCACTCAAAGCGACTCTCTTAGACAACACAGTGAGTTTCTTGTGGCAGATTTGCTTCAAAAAACGAGTTGGAACCAGGGAACATTTTCCTTCCTCGCACTATGGGTGCCAAAAGAAGACTGGTACGCCAATTGGCTTGGTTAGAGATGATAGAGAAAACTTTTTGCACATTTGCAAAACAAAAATTGGCAAGAAAACATTACACTTTGTCCTAACTGTACGAAATTTACAATGAGCCCCATTAGCAGGGCGTAGAAAACCGAATATGAACTAAAAGGGAAAAGGTCTCAATCATAAAGGCTTGAAATGAAAAACTTATCAGTTGTTTTCAACTGATAAACCATTGCAAGATCTACAAAATGGCATATTCAGTCTTTCTCTATGCGACGAAAAAATAAAAACAAAACGTAATATTGGTTGAAAGAAAACGCTCATAGTGATTTGTGAAGGAGGAGAAACTTGGAAACTTGCAGTCCTTCAGAAAATATGTTCTACTCGACATTTTCAGGGGAAAATTGGAGACTTCACTCCTCTCATTTAAGATGGGGGGAATCTTTTTGACTTATGCAGAACTATGTCGTTGAAAACTTCTAGAAACATACTTTGCAAGAACACTATGCAACCGAAGCTCAAATATGTTTGCAATTATTACTGATATAACGCAAAAAAGTCCTACGGTAAAATTGATAAGTTGATTCAATCCGTAAAACTTGATACTACATTGATTTAAAATTTTACACAGTAGTTTTATAAAGGCCTGTTAGGATTGCCCGGCTACACTGACCATGAACGTGACAGATTTTTAAAAGAATACTACAGTGCTTCGAGTCACTCATATGGTCTCTTATTGATCAAAGTTTTATACATACCTGTCCTCCAACATCCCATACGGTAAAACTAATATTTTTATATTCAACTGTTTCAACATTAAAACCTACAACCGAAAAACCAATTTTTTTGTTCATGCACGAATAACAGATTAAGAATCATACACATACCAATAGTTGGGATTGTTGTAACTATTTCTCCTAATTTCAATTTATATAAAATTGTCGTTTTACCTGGACAAAAAAAACAACTTCACATCTGTTTTCTATCTACATCAAGAGGAATAACTAACGTACCAGCAGCATCAAGCCCAACCATCAAAATTCTCATTTGCTTCTTCCCAAATAATCGTTGAAAAACGGATGACATAGTTAACCCCATAATTGTTTTTACTTCAGTTAAAATTGTTTACAATCTGAAATTTTAACTTGTATCTAAAAATAGAACACTTTCTATAAAACAACGATCTGCATTTTTTTTAGAGGATTAACCAAACATTTGAGAATGAGGAACAGCTTTTTTGTACGCGTACAAATAAAAACTATGTGTTTTGAACTATCTGCTACATAAAAGAGATCTAAAAATGAAACGTTGAATAAAACAGAAACATTTCGAAATAATAACACGTAAGAACAGAACTGTAACAAATAAACATTTTTATCATTCTCAAACTACTCGTTTCTGTTGACAATAATTCATGAAACGTGTTATACATTGCTCATAATCTTCTTTATGTTCATATTCAGCAACAAAAAACGAACGATTATTTTCTGAACCACGAATAAGTGCCGATAATCGTTTCCCACATGAAGGGCGAAAAAGACATAATACCGGTTTATTCATTGCTACAGCTCGTCCAATTTCATAACCAACACCCAGTGATGGAACTGTCACTTCTGCCACAATAACTAAAATAAGAGCAAAAGGAAATGAAACAATAATCAATAATATTAAGAGTACAAACCATGAGCTTCCGAAAGCCATCGTAAATCTCGTTCAAGAATATCAGAATCGGTTAAAGCATCTTCTACTAAACGAAAAACAGAAATCGTTGAATAATTTCATAGACAATCTAGGTAAGACAGTGATAACGGAAATTTGTTGAACGGATTCGAATATTATAGACATTTGCCTCTATCGTTTGTAAATATACAGTATAATATCTACGAAGTTGACAATTGTGTTTCCAATTAAACTTTTTAACGTTCAAAGCGATTTCTCTTCCTTAGAGATAAACACCAATTAGTTTCGAGACAACTATATTCTAGCACTTTGTTACTTACAGATTTCAAGTTCTGGAAATGCCACGTGTTCAGTTAAAACCTTGCCATATATTTTCAAAACCGAAACTATTTGTTGATAAATTGGTAAATCTTCTCTTCCAGCTCGAATGCTGCCGCAGAAATAGATGTTCATTATTGAATATCTGAAACTAACAATTATTATAATCATACAGATAAATTAGCAAGACAAAAAAGTAAAGAGTAATTATTATTGAACCATCATTATATTAAAACTACCTATTCTTTAAAAAAAGTGCAATTCTCTTAACAACATAAAAAGCCGTTACGTGGCAAAATCAAGAAAAAAAAATACGTTTAAAGTTGTATGACTCATACGTAGTTAGATGGAATGGACGAATTGGTTCAGAAGAAAGAGCCCTATACAGTCGGTGTTGCGAATAAATATATTGATTGTATCCGATATTCGCCTTCTTTAAATTATTATCTGACTCTGGTTCCATTATTTTCAAGTGATGATCGAAGAACACTTCCATACTCTATAAAGGATAATTCAACAGTTCTGATTGGCATGAATATATCAAATGAAATCTTTTTGGTTAATTAACGAGATTATTGATTGATTTTTTGATTTTATCATTTCTTGTGCGGACATATGTTATCATTATAAAGTGGTGCAGCAATTTTATATATTATTTATTACTGTTTTATATCTGCGCAATGTTTTAGCTATGTATGGATAGCTGTTAAAAGTCGATTTGAATAGGTTTTTCAACTACTAATCAAATGGCAAGATCAAAAAACCTATAATGCTTGGTTGTCTAGAACATCTCTAAAGAACTAACGATTTTGGAAAGCTTTTCCTGGTTTTTTGTTCAAAACCGAATTTTTTGTTAAAAAAAGACATTTTAGTACCAGAAAATTTGAACAAAAAAGGCTATTTTAAAAAGACATTTTTCGATCGAGAATCCTCAAGAGGGTCCTTACCCAGTTTTTTTCTAGTAATTTTTCTTTATTTAAAAGCATCCGATGTTCTATATCATTCGATTCAGGTTCACGCGCTATTTCCGAAGATGGTCTAATTTTTCCTTGAAAATGTTCCTGAGCTGTGAAAAATGGATTTTATCTGGAAAACCAAGGGTTTGGGGAAAACCTATACCGAAGTCCAGGAACGTTTATGCTAATTTATGCTAATTGTGTTAGTGCGGTATAAATAGACGAACATTTTGGCTAACTACGATCGTGTTTGAACCTATAGAAAACTGAGTTGTCTCATTATACTGGAGATAGTTGTAAGGAAAACAATTTAGTTGGGAAACTTATTTTATTTTTCAAAAGATATAAGTCTTAACCAAAAGCTTTTCTTACTACTCGGTAGCCGGAGAAGTATTGTTTTACATTTTTAGCTTGTTGGGTTTAATAATAAAAAACTTTTTATTCAGGATGCTACGTTTCAGACTAGTTTTTGGCTAAATATTTTCCGACGATCCTTGGAAGTTGAACCAAAAAATTAATGCCATTAATACTTTAAGTATATGGATTTGTATTTAAATCTGGAAAAAGTTAACTTTCATTTTTTCGCCTAATATCCCTGGATGGCTCGAGATTTACAAGAAGTCTCGATGCATGATATGCGATTACCTAATTTATTCGTAACTGATGGACGACCAGGCAAATTGGTTGCAGCTAGTGACTCGTGCTTTTTTAAATGTTAGTAATGTCTATCCAGTCACCTAAGCTACTTTTCTTGAAAAACGCAGCAACTTGGCTGTGTTTTGCATTAAGGCCACTAACAGTAAAAAAGATGAGAATCTGAATGTGTCTTCATTATGCACCAGGAGCGCATTTTGAAACCATCAGGGTGGTTTCTCAAGACATTTTTTTTGACAGTGTGCGGCACAATATTTATCAGCTCTATACAAATTGAGAAATGTTAGACAGTCGAACGTAACTGAACATGTTGCAGTATACAAATTAATTATAGTTTTATTGCTTATGTCCATCAGAAAAACGTAAAATTGATGTTTCGGAAGCAAACAATGACTAGCAGTTGGAATCGAAAGTTTTTTTGTAAAAAAAGATATAGTAGTCGAAAGTTTGAAATGATAAACAATAAAGATTTAATGAATATGTTCAGTTAATGTTTGACTACAAATAATACATTAATAAGGTAATTTTCATCACTGTTACTATTCTAAGTCTGGATACTACAATTTAATAATTTTTTGAAATTTATAAACATGAGTTAAATAAATTGATTTTTTGTAAAATAATATGGATATAATAAAATATGATTTAAGAGGGCATCCATCGCCGATCAAGCATTTTCGCTATATGTCATAACTTTTTAAAATCTCGATTTCGATGAGAGATATGTCATTCGATAGCTCATCTAGAATAACCGACAAATTACAATTTTAACAACTTAGAACCTCTTGGTTACTGGTTACGGCATGTTTACGGAAAGGAAGCCCGAAATTTCTCGCAAAAGCTCACTTTTTAGTATTTTGACCTTTTCTCAGAAACTACTGAACAGATTCTCTCAAACAACATTCTGTACGATGTACAATAAAATTTTGAATAAAATGAGATGTTTCTGTTGAGAGTAGTACATATACGGATGGCTTACTAAAGATAAAATACTGAGAAATTTTGGTTTTGAATATCCTTTTGCGTATTTTGCAAAAATGTCTAACTAAAACGCATGAGCCTCACTTAAAATTTATGGCATTTTGTAGAGCTGACAATTGTCTACAAAACATGGGTAAAACAGAGCAAAAGAAAGTTTCACCTGATGAGTTTTGAGACATTACAAAGTGAATGGGTCAAACCTCAAAAACGGATAATTATGTGTGTTGTTCGTTTTTCTCCTGCAGGAACCATGGTTTTCCTTTCCGTACGAGAAAAACTGAGATGCAACCATAATCTACGGTAAAAACTCGAGTGGATGACGTACTCTAGGAATGCGGCTTAGAGTTATATCCTGTATAAGATGGCCAATAGAAAAATTTATCTACCAACATAGCTTAAAAGCGCCAACAAATTTCGTAAATCTATCTGGTTTTTTCTGGTAAGGCATGGAACCTTGATTTACAGCACAAACGAATCGCCTTTTCACGGCAATAAAGTCCTTTCTTTAGAGTTCCTTTCTGTTGCTGAGAAAATTCATTCTTTCTAAATCAGGGGCGAAGTAGTCAGAATTCTGCCCGTAAATCCCAATTTTTTCCATCAGAACTCAGCTTCTATGCAAAAAAAATATCATATTCGAAATCAGGATCAAAACTTGAATCAACTAATATATATTTCTATCCTATTCGAATACTTTAGTTTTCTTTCTAATTTTCACGTTGAAAAATTATCGAGATTTTCACAAAAAAATGAAAATCAACTAAAACTTTCGAAATATATATTAGTCGACTGAGCTTTTGCGAGAAATTTCGGGCTTCCTTTCCGTAAACATGCCGTAACTCAGTAACCAAGAGGTTATAAGTTGTTAAAATTATAATTTGTCGGTTGTTCTAAATGAGCTATCGAATGAGATACCTCTCATCGAAATCGAAATTTTAATTTCAAGAACCGCAAATACTTGAATTTTTCAGCCTTTTTTAAATAGAAAACTTATTCAGAAACTTAGATTTATGATCAGCATCAAGAATTTTATCAGAGAAAAACTAGCTTTAATCAGGAAAGTTTTTAATCACCTGAGATCGTTCTCTGGTTAGTTCTGTTCAATTCATCTTAAAGATTTTTGTGCAGTACATCAAGTTCTCGACTATTATCTTGCTTTTCTAATGATCTAGGTATGATACTAAAATAACTTTATAGCTTTTTTTCGCCGTGTGTTTTTTATCACAGTTAAAAACATGCACATTTGATTTTGTTACGGTAAATTGATTAAAATCTACGTACACTAATGTAAAAGTATATTTCTATAGAAGTCAGTTACTGAATTGGAATTCGTCACAATGATGATTGATGATAGATACCGTAAATTTCTTGATTTATTAAACTGATCAGACATTTTATTTTATATTAATAAGTACTCGGATATAATTGATTTAAACCTTATTCTTCAGAATATAGTTCATTTAAATCGACTTGATTTTATTTCAATCAACTATTTCGCGTGAAACTCTGATCGAGGGAAGTGAACACTCCCGTTGTACCTGAAGTAGATGTTGTTGCGTCTGGGGGGGGGGATCCTTCTTTCTGGTGTTTCTGTTCTTTTGTCTGTTTGCTTTTTAGAATTTTTGTTTATCAAAGATGACAGTATTTTTATTACAAACAACAATTTCACTGTTCTCCTGATGAATCAGTTGTATCTATGATTATCTTATTAAGATAAAATTACTTTTGTTCATACAAGCAAAAAAAATGGCAGTTATTTAATTCAGAACCAAATGACTTCTACATATTTCATCTAATATTTTCAATTACCGCCCGAAAGCTGATCTTGCAGCTACTAACATTTTAAATGTGTTTTAAGTAAATTGAATGGTGAAGTAACGATGATCACTTTCCCTAATTAACGACACACGTTCAATATATGGTTAAGTTCAATTTATAGGTCTTTTATCTTTATAGTTTATCATCAATTGCACACTTTCAGCTGCCTATAATAAGTACGTAAGAGTGACTGATGTTTTTATCATGTATTTGAAGCGAGACAGGTGAAATGAGGATAAAAATGATCAAATGAACAATTTTCTTATTGAAGATAGTAAATGATTAATAAAAATTCTAAAATGATGATGACAGTTATAATGAAACTGCGATTACAATATATAGATGGAACGATTTTGCTTGGTTTAAAGGAATTATTTTCTATTACTATAACTATGCATTTTGAGAATTTAATAACGCAAAAACAAGTAAATTATCATCAACATGTGTGTTATACATCATAGTTTGTGTTTCTCAAAATGGAGAATTCGTTAAGCCAAAAGTTTCCCATGGCGAAACATTTTTTTTGCTTTTCTTGGTTAAAAAACATGATGATTACACAATAAAACACTCGTGTGTACAATATCGAATAAAATCGAAGAATACGAATAATTTAATCGAATTTGATGAACTGTTAAATAGAGTTAATTACAATCGTCGATCATATGTGGTGAGAATAAGTATTAGATTATTAGGTAATCTTTTCTTCTAGTTCAGTCAGATGAAGGCTGAATAAGACAAGTGTTCTTAGAAAAATTGAGCAAGAATATATTTTCATTTTTGAATACAAACCTATATGATTTATATACATAGAAATACTAGAATGACGTTATTTCTGAGAACAGATAGAGAATTTCAATCAGCGATCGATTGTCAAACACAAAGAGTACTATTCTGTATCAAAAACAGGAAGTCTTTGAGAATACTCTCGAGACTGTTATCAATTTCTAAGACTTTTGTGTATCTCTCTTCGATATCCAACTTAAAACTCGGATAGACATCGTTTCAAACTGTATCTGTGTCTACAAAACTATATATTTTTCAGAATCTCCTTTAAAATTTTACTTGTCATATGTATCACCTATTTCTATATTTATTTGTCTTTGAACATGTACAAATGACAACTCGTTATCACATATTTAAAGGTGATAACGAATGTAATCTCAACATGTGTTTCAATGTGACAAGCACTTTTGAGAAATATTTTGTTGTTCAATTGCTTGGTACGTCAACTTCACTTTTTTTCATGTTCTTCTACGGCTAGTGCAAGTATATAGATAGAATATAATATTCACGCATACTTTAAGGCATAGTAATTAGACAAATACGTTACTATGCAACAACTATAATCTCGCCAACAATTGTCATAATATAGGGCACGTATATAATACGTTTACATTCAAACAATAATCAATTTCTTTATAGACTAATAAAGATAGTGAATCAACCAATATTTTAAATATTTCATAAAATCCTATAAGAAGGCCTTTGAACCATTACCGATCATATAGCCTGAGGCACAGATGAAAACATTATGTTCGTTTCTCCCTAATGGCAAAATACATTTTTTTCTGTAAAATGTAGATTTTTTTCTTTTACAGAACACATACTTTAAAATCAGCATGGTACTCTTTTTTGAACAACTCAAACTTTTTTCTTGTACAGTAATGTCGATAGAAATGATTTAACATCGTTTATACCACTATATGAGTTTAAATTATCTGTTTGTTTCTCAAATTGAAGTATGTGTCAATTCTTACTGAGAACAACTATCTAAGAAATAAAATAAAAAAGAAATAGGCGTCGATAATTAGTCAATCTTTGGTATACTTACCGGTGTGAAAATTTCTATATGAGATAGTAGACCAGTAACAGAAAGAGAGAAAAAAAAAATGAAAAACAAAACGGAAACAAATATAATTGGAGAATAACAGAAGTGAAACTATCCTTTTAACTTTTAAATATAACATTATCAATTTGAAAACATAGGTAAGCAAAAACACACAATACATAGATATTTTATTCATATGAGAAAATTCACAGTTAACGTTTATTGTCGTGTGTATAATTGATAAGAGAAAAATACAAAGTTTATTTACTATTAACAGTATTTTAGATGAATTATTTAAAATATCTAATGTGAGAATTTAAAACTATTTCTTAGGTGATTGTTTGTCTGTTGAATTGGAACGATGAGAAAACGGATCTATTTAACATAGATAGACAAAAAGAGAATGAATAAATATCTATTATCTACCGTCAAACCATGTATTATTGCTAATTTGTTTTTTATTAGAAACAAGTTAGTTTTACGTCTGAATATGTTACATTAAATTCTTGTTTTAAAGTCAACCAACATTAAAAAATTTTCAAATTTTTTTCTCTGCCCTTATCGTCTTTAGCTTTACGTTTACTTCAAAGAACGGTTAAGTAAGAAAAAGTTCTGATTTTACAAATCATGTATATGGTACCATATTTTAGAAGTGTATTTATATTCCATAGCCTACTTTCTAAAAGGACAAGATTTGTGTACGAAACCTAAAATATAGTATAGAGAAGTGCAACCATTTCCAAACCCTTTTAGGTTTCGTAGAAGAAAAGGTACAGTATAAAACCGTTTTAAGTGCATTGAAATGATTGAGCAGTGTGCATTTGCTTATTTCGTTATGTTTTTTCCTCATGATTTTCTCACGAAAAATCAAAAATTAAAGAAATTTCAGGTATTTTTTGGACTTAGTTTTCACCGCCCTATACTATGAAAGCACGCCTAAACTGCTGAAATGGTTCACTTTCTCAGAAAAAGAACTGATAGAGTTTAATCGCTTAAACGGTTTCGTACCTTTTCTTCTACGAAACTTAAAAGGGTTTAGAAATGGTTACACTTCTCTATACCCTTTTAGGTTTCATACGTAAACCTTGTTTGTTACACAGTACCCGATTCTTTAATTCTAATCTTACTTCATAATCTCACAATGGTCTCCTAATTCAACTATATCAAAAGTCAGGTGATGTATGGCATAAATAAAGCGTTAGTCATTTACAAATTTCAGATTACAATAAACAGAATAAAACTATAATCTAATCCAAATACTAAATTTTAAAATTCTCAGATATCACAGCACATCCTTCAATTCATTTTCTATCCATCTGCTTGATTAGTAAAATATTCGCTTCCGGCTGTTTTTTTTATATCATTCCTATGCACATAGCTCGTTATAACACCTCCCAATGATTGATGCAATGGTGCTGATAAATGATCGTAACCTATAAATTAACTTAAAATCAACCATCTGACATGATGTTTCTATACACTATCTTTTTTTTTTATGTACTCATCATTTATGTACGAATAAGATATTTCGTTTAATTTTTTTTTTCTTTTTTTTTTCTAATATAAAAGTATGTTCAATACAAAGGTATGTACATCTCATCTCTCTCCTCTCTTTTTTCGTTCCAATTATTTCAATCTTTTTTTTCTTGTCCTATGGACACCTGTCTGGATAAAAACAAAAATCGATGTGTGATGTACTTAGTGTTTCTCTTTCTATTCTACAAAATATTCTATATATTTTAATTCTTCTATATCTAGCAAGATAGTTGGTTACATTAAGTAAGTTATCTTATAAAACTGTTTAAATCTGAAAGTACATGCTCTCTAATAAGAATAAATTATTATTTATTTTTTTTCAGATATGATTCATGTTCGAGTTGATAGTTCTCATCCATCTGTGGATGTTTACGTTAATGTCAGTACAACACCAAATTCATTATCATCACAAAATTTCTTTACTTCGACACCAATGTATGAAAATAGTTTTTTAATTCCGTCACCAATAGCATCGAGTGGCTATCAAACTCAAACGAGTAGTAGTAATCAATCATTAAACTGTGCTTTTATTGAAGAAAATGTTCAATTAAATAAAATTATTTCGAACAAAAATACTGAACATTTATACGATCGTTTATTTAATGATCAACGTTTAACATGTAACGTAACAAAATCAAATAATAAAGACAAATCACTAAATAATAGTCGTATTTCTAAAATTGTACCCAGTATAGTAAAACCGACTAATACAGCATGGTCAAATATTGATCATCAATTAACACCGTTGTCTTATTCAAAAAATTATACACTCAAACAGATATTAGATAATGTTGAAAATATTCAATCCTATTCGACAAACAGTGATTATGGTTCAATTTATGAAGAAATAGTGCCATCATCATCAATTAACAACTGTTTTAAATGGAAAACTCTTTGTAAGACATTAAAAGACAAAGGAAATAAAAAAAAAGAACGTAAAGTTAATGAATCGTCGTCAAATCAAAAATATAATCATTTATCGACTACTGAAAAATCATTTTTTACATTTGGCGGTGAAACATTAGGACTAATTGCATTGCCAAACACGAATTACGATCATCATACATATGAAAACGAAATAATAAGAAAAGAAAATTTCGCAAATTTTTAAAATATATCGTGTATGTTTCGTCTTTTCTACCGGTGATCATTTTTTTTTCTCAACCTAGATTCAGTGCTATATGCTTAGCTCGTCTTAACGAATGCTACATCGAATTTTATCAAGCATTTTTTTGTAGAGAGTGCCTTTTGTAAATTAAATCAATTGTAAAAAATATGTTTTGTGACGAATAGAATGATAAGAGTGTCTTTGATTACGTTTAGTCACGAGAACAATCCGCATCCTTAATACCTCTATTCAACCAAATTGAGAGAATATTTGCAGAATAGTACTGAAAAAAAATTGGAGGGATCGATCTTTTCTTTTTAAACTTTTTTTCTGACTCGTGAGATAGTTGCTATCAGCTGCTTTGATTTTTTTTCTATCGTACTCAAAAAACGTACAGACGCGTTTTCTTTCCCATTATTTATACATACATACAGTGAAAATAAATTCATACAACATCCGAGAGCAAAAAGAGTTCGCGACTCATCTTGTGGTAAAAATTCTGAATATGGGCTAGAATGTTAGTGTACCCGACGCCTGTTTTGTAGAAAAGTGTCGCTCATATTAACTATGTTGTATGTGAGAAATGCATATTTTAGAAACAATAAAAATTTTTATACGTCATCATCAAAGGAATAGTGTATTTTATCATATTGTACAAAAAATTTAGTTTGAACTCTAAATGTCTATAAATATCGTTTGATGAACTTTATTTTTGTACTATTACATCACTTTTATAAGTTAAAATTGACAATAAAATGTTTAACACATCATTAATTGTTCATCGTTACATTATGCTATTATATCGTAAAGTTCACTATGTAAGAATGAAATATTATAATATCAAAGGAGACTAACTTTTTTTTCATCGATATTCTAATTTTTACTATAGAAGATTAGACCCAAACAGAACTGTGCATTTGTTGATTAAAAACTAAACTTAATTATTTTCAAGCTGTAAACAAGTGGCTTAAACAATTAGAACAACAGATTTTTAAGATAAAAAATATCTAAACCGACTACTGTCCTGCTGTTTTCACACACACTATTGGTAGCCATTTTTTTCTTTTTTCACTCATTGTACACAAACGGCTTAGTCAGAAATTGAGTTAATTATAAAAAGAGAACTCTCAAGGATTCGTTCAATTAATCTGTAGGAATTTCGCTATTTTTCGATGAATGATAACATCAGCTATAGACCAAACAACATCAACAAAGTTCGAGTCCATACACTGTAAAGTCGGGAATTATTTATAGAAAATGCTCGGCGATTGTCAAAAAGTCCATATATGAAATCCTCACGGATTTTCGAGACTACAGAAAATCGACTTTCCAATAATGTGGAAAATCGACATGGATTTTCTACATTGTTGGGAATTATTTTATAGAAAATGCAGCAAGAAAGTTAGAAAATCGACACCGAAAATCAAACAGTCGGATTATTTTCTACTTTCTAGAAAATCGATGAGGATTTTCTAGATGATGAGGAAGAACAATTTGAGTGAGAATGCTGATAATCAGAGACTTGCAAAGTGAAAATGCCTGAAGATAAACTGTTTCACCGTTATTAAAAACTATTGAACTTCGAAGTTGAATGGGGTGTATTATTTTAACTTGTTGGATGACAATATGAATCTTTTACTAATGAAAACCAAATTCGACATCGATCACGTGTTGAACGACTGTTATTTTGTTTAAAAAATAATGAAATAAATGTGAATTGTTAGGATTGTGTCTTTGAGTTAATAAAACCAACTACACTTTTGGAAGATGCTAAATTCAGGCATAAAAATGAGGAATATTAGCAAGAGCGAATCGCTTTGTGATCTTCAGAAAGTTGTGGTGGAACTCAACCTTGTCTTAATCAGGCGTAACTCAAGAACCTTTTCAGTACCTCTTTGTGATCTCTAAGTATCATACAACAACAATACTTCTCGAAGAATATGCTGATTGGCAAAAACTGAGAGAACTTTCCGAATCTACTAACATTTCGGATGTTAAATACTAAAATGAGCAGAGATCTGTTACACGACAACTTGTTGCAATGTAGACTTTAATAGATGTGAAAGAAGCAAGAAAAAAATCACCGATTCGACTTCTTAGAAAATCGAATTCGATTTTCCAACTATTTAAAAAATCGCTGTCGAATTTCAAGAATATTGGGATTTATTTATAGAAAATCAAAATCGATTTTCCAACTTTTTAGAAATTCCTTATCGATTTTCTGGCAAATGAGAAAATCAATTTATAGAAGATCGAGCGGATTTTTTATAAAGTAGAAAATCAATATTTTCTAAACAGTCAGAAAATCGCTGAGGATTTTATAAAAATTGGAAAATCCTTGGCCATTTTCCAGATCGATTTTCTATAAAGTAGAAAATAATTTCAAATTACAGTGTATCCGTACACAATTGATTTTTTTTTGTTTTTTAATAGTATCAAAATGTGACAGTAGATTTATTCTGTTGATATTCTGTATGAGGGTGACACTTGCAAACAAAGAACTACGTCTATGCAAAGGCTGCTGTGTAGAATTCTATATTCAATTTGAAGAAAAAGCTCAACATCTTGACAAGGTCTCTTGTTCGATGACTAAGATTAATCCTAGGAAAAAGTTTCAATATTGATCGAAGCCTTCCTAGGTCTTCTATCTAAAAATACATATTCCAGAACAGAGACTATCACGTGCCTGCGGAAAACGTAGTGGACCAAGCAGAAAAAATTTCACACTATATTAGGATTCGGGTAACTTAAAACGTTTTTGATCTGACGAGCTCGCTAGTATATCCTCAATGACCTCCACCAAATGGGATATATGATGTTGTTCTCACAGATTTTTGCATCTGCAGAAAACAGAAAATATTATAACTAGTGTCTTATATACTATTTCAAGGAAAACGATTCCTTCGTTTTGTTTCGATATGTACCTTCAAGATTCCATTCAGAGAATGGCATTTACACTAAAAGAAGGAGTTTTCAGAATCATGCCCTTTCCTATAGGAGTAAATTCTGAAACCTCTCTTGATTTTGGAGAGAACGGCTTTTTCAATCGAAATAAAATGTCTGAATATTAAAATACGTTTAATATCAGATAATGTCGATATACTTTAGCGAGCCATAGTGTTATTAATCATTATCACTAGGAGCGTATTGTTCACCTTATTTAGAAAGATAAAAAATGATATTTTGAATGTCTTTGCACCCAGAAATAAAGAAAAATGTTGCTTTAAGCTTTTCTACAGTTAACTTTTGCTGTCACAGTTTTTTGTGGTATTGTAACGTCACACTTTTCCCCTTGACAACATCTTCCACTTGACATCATAATTAAAGATTTTTCCTCGTTTTGAATGTTTTTTCTGTTGAATGACTTTAAGACTTCCCCGTCAGAAACATAAATTTTTGTATAAAAGGTTGATATTAAGCTAAACATATCACCAGATAGTCCACAGCATCTAAAGTCGGGATCCAATGTTATTTGGTCTTCATCGAAGGGTTATGGAGGTTTTTGGAATAGTTTTCTGAAAACCTTGAAAAGATGGCTTTTCGAAAACAGTTTACTTTCCGATAAAAAAACAAATTCAAAAAAATTTTCAATAATGCCACAAAATTCTTCCACTATTCTTATTGGAATCTTATCAGTTTCTTATATAAGATTGTTTAAGATTTCCTATCGACAGTCGTAAGTGTCTTATAAGAATCTTATAAGATTTTCATAAGAGGTTCGTAAGAAATTCATAAGTAGTACCAAAAATTCTTATGTTATTCTTATTTACTAGAAGGCAGCTTATGAGTTGGTTTTGGTGATTTCTGTTGTGATTAAGTTGCTTCTATTGGCTGGAAAACTTCATAAGAATTTTTGGTACTTCTTATGGTAATTGGTAATTTCTTACAAACCTCTGATGAAAATCCTATAAGATTCTTATAAGACACTTACGGCTGACTATGGGAAACTTTATATAAGAAACTGATAAGATTCCAATAAGAATCTTGCAAGACACTGATAAGAGACTTGGACGTTTCTGGTAAGATTCTTACATAAGAATCGATGACAAGGGCAGTTAGAATATAATTCTACAGTAAAAAGACTTAAATTAGAGTATACTGTCACGGTAAAAGTATGTTGATGGCATCGAACAAATGTACCGATGGGATGGTAAAAAATTATCTGGCATGCTTCAACCATGCCACTGACACACTTTGACCGTGCGATCAGTACGTTTATTCCATGCCGTTAGAAGAGATGTGCTATTGGAACGCTTTTAGTATGTTGTTCGATGGCATTCTTTGTGTGACAAGACGCACACTTTGCTCTTATACTTTTGAAAGCGTGCTAGAAGCGCGTCTGAAATGTGAAATAGCACAGTTATAGTGTGCTACACTGATGTCATGTATTTTTACTACAATTATGAAGCAATTTTATCTGTGATTTGTGTTTCGCGACCGATATTCAAGATACAACACGGACATTATTGAAGCGATTAATTTAGTTTCACAACAGACAATTCAGACTGCTTTTTTTTTTATTCGGACAATATGAAACCCAGATTTCATTTTTTGACACATTTTCCGAGATAAATGGGTTTGTTTGACCCATTGAGGTGAGCTAACCATAATCCAGCATCTTTTTTACTTATTCTTGCTCGTGCTTAGACACACCAACTGTCTTGCATCAAAAAGAGAACATCAGTTTTTCAAAGCCAACACGTCAAGAAGTTTCTTGAAGTTGACGTGGATATTTACAAAAAGACATGAATTGTGATGTTCAATAGTGAAACACGACAGCGATGCGTCATTATCTAGCAAAGTATTGAGTGAGCCGGACTTGCGTGTCATTATCAATTAACATATTACGAAACGTCAAGGCGCGTCTGTTACATCTGATTCAATAAACGCGTTAAAGCGCGTTTGAGAACCAGTTCGTGTCTTTGCCCCGTCTAGACATGTCATATTGTTACAAGCTATTTTAATGAGAAACATTTTAATTTTTTCGCCTACTGTCGAAAGAGAGGCAGTATTATCGAGGGACAGAAACACAATCGATACAATATAATCATGAATAATGAATCTGATGCGAGAAAAGAGCCATACAATAATGTATGAAAGTCCAGGCACACATACAGAGAAAGAAAAAAAGTGTTCGCTGCAAAGAAACAAAATAAATTTTTTAGGAGAACTACAATATATCTGGTGGAATTCTCGTTTATAAACATTAGTGACTAAGTTGAGTTCACTGAGTTTGACAAGAAAATTAATTTAAGGTTTAAAACTCAGAGTCTTTTTGTCAAAATTCCCTAGCAAACAATCAAACTATCGTGGTTGTCGGATGGATTAGTAATCATTTAAGAAAAAATGTAGTTTTGTGCCTTTAATGGTATAACACGCGCAAGTTTTTACATTATCTTCTGCATTAGCTTTGCATTAGCTTCTCATAAGTTGTACTTGTCTTCGTCCATGTAATGTATGCGCATTGACAAGTAACAATGCAAGTTGCAAGCTCAGGTATCTGAGTGGGTAAGTAACTTGCTTTGTAATTTGTCTTTCTATTCTTAGGTACCAAGTTTGAATCCCGCCGACGGCACTATCAAGTTAACTTTCTCTCCTAATGTCGTGGACTCTCTTCGCGAGAAAAGATCTGAAGTTAAAATTCGAATGAAATTATTTGTTTTTAAAAATGAAATTAAAGCATGGAAAACGCGTTGAAACGCGTCGCAATAAAACGCGTCTTGACAAAATGGTGCAAATTAGGCGTACTTAAGCGCGTCATACCCTATAGAAGCGCATTAGAACGCGTCTACATCATGCGCGTTTAAACACGTTAAGATAAAACGCGTCTAGCCGCACCAAAAGAGTGCATATTTTAGCGACTTAAACACAGGATGAAACGCGTTTTAACGATTCGAAAAAATTTACGTAGGTATGTCTAACTTTAGTATCAATGCTTTTTACTAGTGACAATCTTTTAGTGTACTAACCATACAGATTAAGTGTACCAGCGGCACGCTTTTAGTTGTGCTGATGATACACTTTAGGTGTGCCCGTAAAAGACTTTTTGGTAAAATGTGGAAGCGAAACACAAACAAAAAGCACACTTAAAGTGTCTTTTTTTGTTACCCGAACGTGATGAAAAAATGCACTGTTGCTCCTGTATTGGAGCTTTTTTTATGCTATTTGAACACTTTTACGGTGCTTTTCGATGACAGTGCACTTAACATGGATGTTATTACATCTCCAGGGAAGAATATTCGTCACAATAATAAATTAGTAATTTAGCATTTCCTTTGTGTTTTTTGTACCGTGAATTAGTAGGTTTTTCTTTTTGAGTTTTTATAAATTGCACTACAAAAAAACTAAGAAAAATTCTCTCAGTGTAACATATATTAATATTTTTGCTGCTTTTTTACGTGAACAACTCAGCCAACGTTATACACTTGATACAAAGAATGTTAGGATTCAAGTTCGTAAACATCATCAGGTGTGTTTGAGGTTAGAACTATAATGGATAATGAAAATCTGCGACAACTATAATCTGTGCACTACAAAAATGCAGTTGGTTCTTCTTTTGCTGATGTCTACAGAGTTGATAAACATATAATTATTCGAAAAACTAGGGTGTGAGAAGTTCAAAACGTCGTTTAAGATAAAAAACATTTGCTCAATTCCTGATTTGATATAGCTGATTCCCTTTGTTTTAATCTTGTAACTGTATTCGAGAATCAAAATAGAAGTGATCACTCCAGGAAACTATTCTTAGACTCTACTAATCAAAAACTGTATTCCAATACGGAATCAAATTAGGCTGCTAACCCGATGATACGTAGCTATACATTACGGCATCCAGAGAACGGAAAAAACGCAGCCAGCCCTCGAAAAAAATGGTCAAAATCCAAAAGTTTGCAAAAACAATTACACATATTGGCTATATCCTGCAGGACTATTCAATACGCTTACTATTCGGGATTTTTTCTAGGAGATTCTTCTCTATGAAAGAATCAGCTTTTTTCTCCCGACTAATTCAACGTGGAGAAACTGATAGAACTGCTGTTAAGCTGTTTCGGAGGTGTCTAGCAAACTTTGTGGATTTCTATCAATTTTTTTTGTTAGTTTTGTGTAAAAACTAACTTTATGATGTTGGACGGTGCCTAGAGTCGTTCACAGGATCTGTAGAAAACTTTTAGATTTCTCGACATTTGTAAGTTGATTTCGACTCGGAGCGTTAGGGACGCATTGTATTCAATGTCTGGGGTTTCAATGGCCCTGACAGCTTCTCAGTTTCTATGCATTTTGAAAGGTTTTTCTTATCAAAACATCCGTATTAGGGTATTTCACAGCTTCGATGATATATGTAGGAAATTTTATCATTCGTACCAGACACGTGAGCATTGCGATCTCCTGCGACAAATACATCATGTTCTCGAAAAGTCTGAGTAAAACATGATGCCTGCCTGGGTCCCATGTATCTAAAGACTGAGGAGTTTTCTAAAAAAACTACCTGAGAAGTTAAACTCGACCAGACCTTCTTCATAGAATAATATGCAGTAAAATCTCAGTAATATAGCCAAAATCGCAGGCTAAGCTTAATTCAATTTTTCAGCTAAGCTTTAATTTTTTGACAAAATTTCATTAAAACGCGCTTATCTCTCCGATAATATGTTCCCGCCTCCTGAAGCATTGAGATTCCGATAGACCTCAAAACTCTAAGCATACACAGACATTTTGAGCATGTTTTGGCAGTCACTTTGTATCGATCTCTGGATGTTTGAAAGATTGAATAAATCTTGCATAAAACAAACAGATGACATAATGTAGACATAGACGCTCATTACAGAGGGAAGAAAATAAAAATAAAAGTTGTCGTCTTTATTTTTTACATATTATATAGTTCAGAATGATAAAAAATAAAAAACTTGTTTTTTTAATTACCAAAGCCTTGTTATTCAAAATAAAGTTTATATTCATGATCCAGATGAAGATCTGAATCTAACTGTATGTAATTTGATTAGTTTCTCTCACTTTTTTCTTAGATCTTTGAACGAGAAACATACTTCTGCGACATCGTTTTCACTCTTTTCCTTTTATTTGGCGTTCACCAATGGGAAAGCTAGATCCAACATGTATTCACTGGACCCCTATTGTCGGCTAAATAAAAAGACAAGAAGACAACTCAAACGATACAATAAGTAAAGGATGTAACGTCTTTGTTACGAAAAAAAATAACACAACATGTATAACACCATATATAATATGCATGCACTATAAAGTTTTTCCTTTGACTTTATATACTCTTCACAGTACACTAAAGGCGGCATAGCATTTTTTGAAAATACAATAGACAATGCTTAAAATATTTTCTTCTCTCTTTATCGGACTTTTACCGAAGCATCAAGCAGAATAAATGCCTATTTTATTTTGAGCATGAATAAGATGACAGGTAAATCGATAAAAAACCTGAAATGGCGTAAAAACACCGAAAAACTGTTTGATGTGTTCATTCTTCGCTGCAAACCTGAGACAGATGTTATACAAGTCAACAGAATCATTCTCTCCTTGTATATATATAGAGGTCAGACTACGTATTTTAACGAAATGTTAAACCGAAAAATCGGTTAGCATCAGGTCCTATGCTGTAATACATTCTTCTCCCTCGAGGATATGGGACCTAGAGTTTACCCGATATCTGTTAACTAAATTTTTTAATAAAGGTTAACAAGTGAGCTTAGTTTATTGTAAAATAATTTATCTTCTAAAATGCTATATCTACCTATATATTTTCTTCGCCTTCAAGGATGTAAAGGGTAAGTCAAGCTAGATGTGAGAAGGAAGCTAATTATATTATAATAAAGTGTACGTAATTTTTGACATAAATCGTTCTCTTGATTCAATTTTATTTTGATGTTTCAACGTTTTAGATTTTTTTGTCGTCATTTCTTTTTTTTTCAAAAATGGAAGGCTGTCCGCGATTGCCAATGTTAAGTTTTGATTTAAAATCGTGTATGGAATCGGTTAATTTATGTGAAAAAATTCCTAGTGTAATTATCATTGTTTTTTTGTCTGAGAAAAAGGAGTTCAAAGATCTAACTAACATTAATCTTTCTCTTTAGTATATTTCTTCAAATTATCAAGAAAGTGGTGAAAAATATTTAAGCGAATGTGAACAAATTAATCGTCTTCGTCAGGTAAATAGGAAAACTATAAAACGTATCCAACGAAATAAAATATTTTCTGATTCTTTAGAGTGCTATTGATGCGTCGGCTGATCTAGTTGGTGTACAACTTTTGAAAAAGTATTATTGTCAGTTACAACTACTACGCAATCGATTTCCAATGTTGCCCGACACCGAATGTGCTGTTCGGTTTACATGGTATTGTATTCAGTAGAAAAAGATTTGTTCCGTACTCATACAAGAGATATATTTTCTAGGGAAGATGCTTATCAGAAAGACGAAAGTTCGTTTAATGATGCTCGATTTGAAGAAACTGCTATTTTATATAACATTGGTGCAATATATACTCATTTGGCGGGACGAGAAACAAGAAAAACTCATGATGTAAAGTTTTATTTTTCATTTTTTTAAGATATGATTTAACAAGACTTTGTCTTTCAGAGTATTAAAAATTCCTGTACATATTATCGTTGTGCGGCATGGGCATATCAAACCATTCGCGATCAATACACAGCTTATACTCCCGATTTGAGCCCTGACTTATTGACGTATCAATTTTATGTTGTATTGGTAAATCTAGAAGGTCAGCATATTTATAATTCTGTTTAAAATTTTGTTTATGTATTTATTCAAGGCACAGGCTCATGAAACAGTTTTAGAAAAATCATTACTCGATCAACGGCCAGCGTCAGTCAATGCACATATTGCAATGCAGATATCAGAATATTATCAAATGGCTTTAGTTAGTTTAACAAAGCCGGGCATTAATTCCATCGTATCAAAAAAATTTAAAGTATGGAAGAAAAATGAAAAAATATCACAGAACATATTCATGTTTGAGTAGTGCCAAATAAGTGAATATCAGAGACCGAAACGGGTTGAGTCAATGGTCGAATCAGGTCGGATTCGGGTCAAATAAAAAAATATTTCGGGTCCTGTTCGGATCACCAGAAAAAATTTTCGATTTTTCTTGGGTTTTTCTGCGAAAAATCTTTTTCGGGGTTCATTCGGGTCAAGGAAAACAATTTTCGAGTTGGGTGAGGGTCAAATGAGTTTGACCCCATTCTGTCTCTGATGAATACGTAACACCGAGAGGAAGAGATGATTTTTGTAGAATAGTTCATTACAATTATTTTAAATCCTTTGGTCTTCACGTTTATGCGACGCACAGTACTGGATTACATAGTAATTCGATACTATGTAAACCAATAGTGATCGCTAGATAAACATTTGTCGTAGAAACTAAGTGGTCATTTACCAAATTATATTGAAACCAATGTATCTATGGCTAAACAAAGTAGAATCTTGTTTTTAGGAGAGGTTCTTGCATTTTATTTACTTTTAGGAATGGCGTACAGTAGTCACATACAAGTTATCATACTATTTGGCAATGACGCATTTTTTTTCCGGTGTTACTTCAGAAGAGAACAAAAAACGTGGAGAAGCAGTTTGTTATTATGAGGCTGCTGTTGAACGTCTCCAAGAAGCATGGAAAAGTGCTGCAAAGGTATTAATGAAACTACATAGTACCAAGAAATAGTATTCTCTACGTATCAAACTATTTGATCAACTTTATTTTTCATTAAGATTTCAAATGATAAACTTCAACCATTCCAAGAAAGTCATACATTCTCGACAGATGTTATAGTTGGAAAGTAAGTCGGGTGTTCTACTTTTCTTGCTCAAATCTTGCAATGTATTTTACTAATTAAGATATAAATCGGCTAAACGAGATAATGATTCCGTTTTTTTTGAAAAAGTTCCAGCATTATCTAGTTTAACTGCCGTGCAAGGTAAATTAATCTATAGTTTGAAGAGAAGAACTCTTTATAATAAAATGGATCTGTTTTTCCAGGTGCAATTGTTGCCAAGCCACAATCATTTGATTTTCAGGATCCAGAAGTATGTGGTCCGGATATCTTTCAACGTTTACTTCCGATGGACACACATTTAGCTGCATCTGAATACAGTGAAGAAAAAGCAAAATTGCTACGCGAAGTTGTGGAATTAGTTGAAAATAAAAATCGTGAATTAGAGTAAATATTATACATCTTAAACATAAACATTAGACATAATTTGTTTTTGTTTAGAACATTCTTACTTTGTTTACAACTGGATCGAGTACCGCTTGATGATGAATATTTACGTTTACCTCGTGATTTATTTGATTGTTGTGCTGTTGTCGCTGTCCGTCCAAATATGCCAAAAGATTTAGCCTCATTGATGCAACGTAAATACTGTTTTTAAGTTCCCCGTGCCTTCATGTGTGTTTTCTCTATTTAGAATTAAATAGTCAACATCATGATCTTGAAGAACAAGTGGAAGAATTTAATCAAGAACTCAAAATTTTCATAGAAAATGGAAATGATGTATGTTTCTCTTTACGTTTATTCATTATTTTTCACTAGTATTGTTTTATTAGGCAGTCAAACAAAACAAAGAATTAAAAAGTTTACAATCAAATTTAAAAACAACCATAGAGTCGTTATCTCGTGCCAATGAAAATGATGTCGAACTACATAAACGAATGGTTACCATAAGTCAACATTTAAAATTACTGGGGTCACCACTTGACCAACTGGAAAAGACATTGCCGGTGATTACTGAACTTCATGGTAAAACAAATAAAAAATTACTCTCGTTTCTCGAATTTTATTCGCTTGTCTTTTTAGATGAGAATAATAAACCAAAACTTAGTCATTTAAAAACATTAGCAGAAAAAATTGAAGTTATGCGCAAACAACGTGAACAGTTGATCAATGATTTTCGTAAAAAAATTCATGAGGATGATATAACGACATTAATGATAATTCGTCGACAAGATAGTCACAAAGTAAACACTTTGTTGGCTTTTTTGTCTTGTGTTCATATTGTTTTTTTTTATATCAGAATCTCTTTGTGGAACAATTGAAAAAACATGAAGAATTGATTAATATAATCAAGCAAAACTGTGCAGCTCAAGAAAATATTCTTCAGATGTTGACCGAGGCAAATGCAGATTTTGCAGAAATTCGGTCAAAAATTACAGCTACAAGTGAAGCGTATGTTTTCTTTTATCTTATTATCGAACGATAAAGTTGAAATAATTTTGCTTGTAGTCGAACAAATCTGATCAATGATTATATCAATTCATTTAAATCATTCCAAGATGTAACAACAAAAGCAAATGAAGGCATTGAATTTTATAAGAAGTTGACTAGTAATTTAGAAAAATTGATTGAACGTTTTTCAACTGTACGACAGATAATTGCAAAGCAACAACCGCCATCAATACCATCACGTACACAATTGTCTCGAACATCTCTGCCAACACGATCAAATCAAGAACAAATTGATCGCGAATTTCCGAGTATTTCTCCATTAACGTCAATACCAACTTCAACATCAACAATGCCCGATCGTCCACGTCTCAAAGATTATTTAGCGATAATGAAACCAGAAACCTGGGGAACAGATAGTGTTGGTCGATCAAAACAGTTATCATCGAGCGATCGCCTTAGTACTTTACAAGATACATCCATGCCTTCAACAAATTATTACGAGACGCAACAACTACCATCGCAATTCGATTCTTCATTTAATCCTCAATTCCAAGCTAATCGATCAAATTCTATTCCACCTATAACACATTCTCAGCCAAACCTAATACAACAACCTCAATGGCAAGATCAGTTACCGTCGTCTGCTACTACCAGAACACTGTATTCAAATTCGATATCTCAACAGCTAAGTATGAGTCAATATGATCAATCACAAAAATCTCTTTTCACATCACATACCAGTATGAGTCAACCACCATCACAACAAAATTTCAATCAGCAACCATTTTCTCAAGCAAATATCTCATCATTAAATCCGCAAGCCCCATTTAATCAATATACAAATCAACAGCAAACTCCTTTTACTCACCCACAACCACATGTACAAAATCAATCAATTCATAATCAATATCCCTCATCACCACAGGAACAACAGCAACGTTTTACTTCACAGTCGACACTTCAAAATCCACCTGTGAACCCAATCGTATCAACGCATTATCCTCAGTCAGTCATACCACCCTCGTTTCATCAACCCTTCGGCTCAGTCAATAATTCTCTATCTAGTCAGTATCAAATGCCTCCTTTATCCTCACAACAACAACAACAACAACAATATCAATCTGCTTCTATTCCGGTTCCACAGACAAAATTCGATCCTTATCGGCCACAACCTGCTGGCGCCTACGAAATACCGAAATTACAACCTTATCAACCACAGTCAAATGTCCTATCAACCGTGCAATATCCACAACATTGGAACAACAACATCAACCATTAGAACAAAATATTAATCGAATATCGGGAATGAAACCAGAAGATGTTTATCGATCGGGTGTTTTTCTTCCGACTGGTGCGAGAATGCCGCCACCATTATCAAATAATAACGGTTATTCACCGCAGAATGAGATTAATCAATTTGTACAATATCCGTCACAGCACTACTCAATGCAATCGCAATTACAACCTGGGACTAACTTTTATAGTAATAATAACGCTAACTTTGATGTTGTTTTACCTTCTTCGTCTGCTAATGTAATGTCTAATATGTCTAATTTAACAATAAATTCTAATCAGTATTCATGTGTTACTAAAACAAACAAGAATGAACTAATGGATAGTGAGTTTATCATTGCTAATGACCATGTACCGCTAGATATCAAGAAGGAGATATCTTCTGCTCTAACGTCACCATTAGGTCCAGCGGAAATATCTCAAATAATCATGATATTGATACAACGTGTATACAATAAACACAAAATAATGGCAAGCCGACAACATATATCCAGTTGTGAACTTAATAGTAGATCAACCTTTAGCTTTTTCGTGTTAGTAATGATAAAAATTATGCGTATATGTGTTTGTAATTCAGGAGCTTGTCAATCTTCAAGATAAGACATACATTCCTGTACGTCTGCAACGTGAAAATGCTATCCGAACAAAAACCGTTATCATAATGCACGGCTGTAAACAACATAAAATTAAACAAATTGGTTTTTGTTTGTTTCACTCTACATTAAATTTCTTTATTTAATATAGATAATAATAATCGTATACAGTTGCGATATTGGAAATACGAACGACCACATAAAATCAATTATTATTAGAATAAGACCATTTTGTAACTAGTACACAATAGGTATGTGTAATCTCATATCAGAGCCCTGCAGGTTGCCAATATTTGGCAACCTATAACCTAACCTATAAAAAATTTCACAACCTAATCCTAACCTAACCTATGGATTCGACAACCTAATCCTAACCTAACCATTGAAAAAAAAATAGAACAACCTATAACCTAACCTAGCCTATAACTTTTGCAACCTAATCCTAACCTAATCTATAGCTTTTGCAACCTAATCCTAACCTAACCTATAGGTTAGGTTAGGTTAGGTTAGGATCAACCTGCAGGGCTCTGTCTCATATGTACGTGTCTGAAAGATATTACATTCTGCTATTTTAGACACATTAACGAGGACCGTTATTTGGCTTAAACACGCTGATTCATCATTTTTTTCTTATTGCTGAGTGCTGTTAGATAATACATAGACATTATTAAGTTTCGTTCAAGAATTACAGTATTTTTTTCTATCATAGACATTACGTAATGCGAGGTTGACAATATTAGTGCCATGTTTACAGGATATTATGAAAACATACTCTTGACTATTTTATTTCGAAAGGACAAGTGGCAGAATGTGAGGTTTCGTGCCAAAAAAGTTACACAATGAGTCATACATATTCGGAATCAGCGTCGAATTCTGAGTGAAACTGTATTCTCAGATCGTTCAAATTCGAGAAAAAATTTTTTCGAAAAATTTTAGGGCAATTCAGGAACGTCGAAAAATACTTTTTCTCTAAACTAGCAAGATGACACTTTTTCTGACTCAGAATTGAATACTGATCACGAAAATCGCATTCACACTTCATCGAAATGCTTCCATGTGAAACGGCGGCCGAAACAAAAAATGGTCGAAGACTTTGTCTATATGTACTTCACTGTGCTTTATCCAAATATGTAAGAATCAAATTGATTGGGCAACGCTTCAGCCCTGAAACCTCCAATAACCTGAAGGATTTCCAGTCTCCGACTCGTTGACTGTCAAAGGTACACCTAGAAACCTTAAGCCAATAAGCTATTTACACTGGAGATAGATTAAGCAGCGCTCTTTCTAATGGTGTGTCGTTCAAGTCGAAAATCAATGTCTA